ACACTCTACCCAGGGTGACAGCTTGAGGCTCTGTCTCAAAAAAAAAAAAAAAAAAATGGTGAAGAACAGTTGAAGAGTTGAGGGTCAAAGATGGGGGTGCTGTTTAGCCCAAGAGAAGAGCAAGGTTGCGAGAGCACTTGAACTTGGCACCTCATGCTCTGTGATGATCTGTCTACTCCTTGCCGTTTCTTCCCTTCCAATGTCTCCCTCCTCTTTCCCGTCTATCTGTCCCCCATACCCACCTTTCTTCCTCACCTGTTTCTCTATTCTAATGATATCCATAAGAGGTGTTGTTGAGAGTGTTTGTTCAGCTTCTTGAATGCTCAGTCTTTCCTTAAATTTTCTAATTTCAAAAATGAGCAGATTAAACATTTTCTCCCAAGGAAAAATATCTCAGTCATTTTGCTTGGTTGTGACCAGGATCAATTTCTGCCACCCCCCTAAGTAGATAAAGAGATTTTAAAAAAAGAAAAGCCAGCCACAGAAAAGCAGCTGCCCGAGTCTGTCCCTCCTCTGTCCTCACACTTCTCTTCTCCTATCTGGCAGTTGGTTAAAGGTGATCGATTACATCGCAGAGAAGAATCTACCTGTGTTCCAACCGGGAGTCAAGGTGGGCTAAGGCCTCAGCTGGGAAGGGGTGTTTGGCAGTTGGGATATTTTTGTTATGTTTCTGGGAAAACAAATGGACAAGCGTCCTTCAGAAAGCAAAAGATGCATGTGGCCATCAAAGCAGCAGGAGAGAGTACGGGGCTGGCAATATTTTGAGAAGAAGGGTAGGGGGTTCTGCTCTGAGGAAAGTTCTTTCTGCTATCTCTCCTGCCTCCCCAGCTCCGGGACAAGGAACGGCAAATGATCAAGGAACGCTTCAAGGTAAGTCAGGTCCTGTTCCCTTTGCCGCCGCTGCTGCCACCGCCACCACCACCACTGCTGTGTTGAGGTAACACAGACTCCAATGTCTGGATCCCTCTCTTTTCTACCTTTTTGGTGGCCAGGGCTTCAATGATGGCCTTGAAGAGTTGTGCAAGATCCAGAAGGCCTGGGCTATTCCAGACACAGAACAAAGGGACAAGATTCGCCAGGCTCAGAAAAACATTGTCAAAAAGACCTATGGGGACTTTCTGGACAGGTAAGATATCACCTGCCCCTCCTGCCCATGCTCCCCATTTCCCCAGTTGGGCCTCTGTGTGCTCCTCCTCAAGGAAGAAAGGAGAAGGTGGTGGGTCTGGGCAGGACCTGGTGCCCTGGGTTTGGGGGTAAGCTAGACAGGGACATCACTCAGGGCCACCCCATGCCATTTCTGAGACTCCCGTCAGGAATGCCTTAGGCTGAGGGTGGCCCTGGGAGCAGGTCAACCTTTCCCTCCATCTGACTACAGTGCCTGGTCAGGTTTGGCAATGTGTCCTTCACCAAGAACCCTGACAAGTATATCAAGTACCAAGTGGAACAGGTGGGCGACATGATCGATCGTCTTTTCGACACCTCAGCCTGAGCCCGCTCCCATCCCTGCCTGGTTCCACCAGACTAACCATGTCATTGAACAGATAAATCAGTGTTAACTTGCCTCAGGGCTGGGTGAGTCTGAAGTCCTTTGGGATAGAAGCCTGTCTTCACTGCCCTATCCAGGAGCCCTGTTCTTGAGCCCTCTAGTCCTGGTCTCCCTTCCCTGCAGCCCTCATTTCCAACCAAGCCAGCACTCTCAGAATGCTGGAGTCCTTTCACACCCTGAGTTTTGTGACCCTGATAGTTTCTAAAACAGGAAAGAAGAGAAGGAAGACAGGCCTTTACCCACAACTGCCTCCTCTGTACCAAGAACAGGAGGGCAGAATAACCTGAATTATCCAGGGGCAGAGAATTCTCCCTTCAGCCCAGAATGTGGGTAGGGCTTAGAGGAGCAGCCAGAGGACCTGGAGGAAAAATCGGGGTCAGCTTGCTCTCTTGGATTTAATGCAGAAAACACATTTGCATCACCCACTGTCCTGAGGTCTGGGGACAGGCCATCTCCCAGGGATCCTCTAGGTAGCTGGGGGCAGGACTTCTCACTTGCTGTTCCCTCTGAGGTCCAGCCTTCCACAGGAGGTGTTTGGAGAAGTTCTGACCACCCCATGGCCTGCCTTGCAGGCCCTTGTCCTCCAGCCCAGCACAGTGCCTCTGGGCTAAGCAGTGGTGGCCACAGAGGGAGAAGCCAGACTGCCTGCACAAGGCTGTGAGACTAGTACGTTAAGGAACAAAGTGAGACCAGTGGCAGGGAGTAGGGTGCCATCTACATGGGATGAGAGGGAATAGCCCAGCTCAGTGAAGACAGACCCTTGAGGTATACCTGCACTCAGGATACATTTATTCCACTATTCTCATATGCTAACAGGGAGAGGTCAGGGGGTTTAGGTTCTCTGGTGTTGGGGAAGAGAGCAGCCTTCCTCCTCTCTCTCCAGAGACCTGCAAAGTAAGGTTTTCAGCCCAGGCCCTGCTGGGTTACAGACTGGGCTGCCTGCCGTGGGGTGCAGCCTCCCCAGGGGCTGGGTCGGACTTGCACGCTGCCCACATCCAAACTCCAGCGAAGATGAATTGGCTGCATGCCACCCCAGCCACGTACACAAGGAAGAAGATGTGGTCCACAGTCTCAGGCCAGCTCCTCTTAGAACCCTGGATGCCTCTGGGGGCTTCTGTGCAGGGAGGTGCAGGGAACAGAGCTGTTCTGGGCTCTCCCACCATGAGTAGAAGGGTGAACACCAGGTGTTGTCAGCCTTTATCTCTCCCTCCCTTAGAGTTTCAACTAATGAAAATTGGAATCTAGTTCAATTCAGTTGAACAAACACCCTCCTGGAGAGGCCACTGAGCTACTGGTGCCAAGCCTATAAGAGGATTTTATCTAACAAATGAAATCTGTGTAACTAATTATTTGTACCCTCAGTGAATCCCAAACAAAAAGAAAAAAGAAGGCGGCACCTGTAGCTCAGTGGGTAGGGCACCACCCACATACACAGGGGCTGGCGGGTTCGAACCCAGCCCCGGCCTGGTAAACAACAATGATGACAACAACAACAACAAATATAGCCAGTTGTGACAGGCGCCTGTAGTCCAAGCTACTTGGGAGGCTGAGACAAGAGAATCACTTAAGCCCAAGAGTCTGAGGTTGCTGTGAGCTGTGATGCCATGGCATTCTACCCAGGGTGACAGCTTGAGACTCTGCCTCAAAACAACAACAAACAGGCTCGGCGCCTGTGGCTCAACCGGCTAAGGCGCCAGCCACGTACACCTGGGGTGGCGAGTTCGAATCCCCAGCCCGGACCCGCCAAACAACAATGACGGCTGCAACCAAAAAATGGCTGGGCGTTGTGGCGGGCGCCTGTGGTCCCAGCTACTTGGGAGGCTGAGGCAGGAGACTCGCTTGAGCCCAGGAGTTGGAGGTTGCTGTGAGCTGTAATGCCACGGCACTCTACCCAGGGGGACAGCTTGAGGCTCTGTCTCAAAAAAAAAAAAAAAAAAAAAAACAACAAACAAAAAAAATGATAACTGGTGTCTACCCCAGGTATAGATTCATCTGGTGCAAAGAAGGTTTAGGTTACCTGGGCTTCTAGGAAAGCCAAGCTTGCTCCCTGCTACAGGCCTACTTCTTCCAAGGGAGGACATGGAGGAAGCCAGGGGCAGTAGAGCCAACAGGGTAGTGCAAGGACTCTGTCCATACCTGGCCACCCTGACCCTTTACCCCAGCCTGGCATGCAGCCTGCCAGCTCTGCCTATCAAACCTGCTTCTAGGCCTATTCCTCACCAGCCCCTGTGCCTAGGATTAGCCCCTGCCCACCTTCAGGAATAGGCCCTGGGTTCTTGCGATCTCGCTGTTCCCCTCTCAAGGCTGTGCTGGGGCTTCTGTTAGCCCCGAGGGTGGCCCGGGCCAGCAGCCCAGCCATCAGCACAGTCTCCATGGTACTGAGGAAGAGCAGCAGCAGCAGGATGGTGAAGAAATAAACTGGAGGTAGGAGGAAGGGATGGTCAGGGGCCAGGCCCTCTGTCTCTGGTGCCCAGTGAGCTGATCAGAGACACCCCAGGATCAAGTGACAGCAGGTGGGAGAAACAGGGCCAGCCTGGTAGAGTGGGCCTGCCTAGGCCCAGGGAGGGGCAGGGCTTACTGAGCAGTGGGTTGCAGGATGAGGAGCTGGGCAGGGCCTGTACCAGTGAGGAGTGGAAGACCAGGTAGCCCAGGAGCAGTGTCACCTTGTAGGCAATGCGCTCGGTGGCCTGGATGGGCAGCAGTCCCCCACATACATCAGCCAGTAGCAGCGCCTCTGCAGGCACCAGCAGAGCTATGATGGACTTCAACGCCGTGTTCTTCAGACTCAACTGGAAGGGAAAAACTAAGGCTTTCTAGGTGGCGTGGAGATGGGCAGTGAGGAGTTAAGCCTCTGGCTCCTTTGCCTCCACCTCCATCGGGCCCCTGTCAGGCCCCTTCTGACTTGACTCACCGTCAGCTGGAAGCAGGGCACCAGCTGCTGGGGTGGGACTTCGGTTGACAGATTGTGAACTACATATTCCCTCTTGACACTCACAATCTCATTCATGGCATGGGCCTGGAACTCCAACTCCATCACTGAGCAGGATGGGAGTGAGAACTGTGAACTAGGAAAGAGATCCATGCCCCCACATACCTCCTGGGAGTAGGGCTAGAAGCAGACGGGCCCAATGAAGTCTCAGTGAAGACTTCTGATGGCTTGTGGGGGGCTGACTTGGAGCTCTCTTGGAAGGGCTCCCATAGCTTTCCAATTCCTCTGGTGTTTTAATTCCAATTCCTCTAGTTTCCAATTCCTCTAGTGCCCCTAATTGTCTCGAAAGGAAGGTCTTTGTCAGATCCATAGGTGAATTTTCATCAATAAAAATAAAGGAACTTGGGCAGCACCTGTGGCTCAAAGGAGTAGAGCGCTGGCCCCACATAACAGAGGTGGCGGGTTCAAACCCATCCCCGGCCAAAAACTGCAAAAATAAATAAAGGGACTTCATGGAGGTGGGAGTGGTCACAGACTCATCTACCAGTATGTCATCTCCCACCTGAAATATTAGGGTCCATGGGGCAGCAGCTGTGGTGTGTCAGGGAGAAAGGTACAGAAAGGGGAGGGCTTCTCTGACAAGTTTGATGTCACCACCCTAGCTGCACCTCAGATTTCCAGGAAGGAGGCCCAGAGCTTCTGGCCTTGGTATAAGGGGCCTGGCCACCCTGTTCAGTCCTAGCTGTATAGAGCAGTTACTCTGGGGAGAAGGTGTAGCTGAAGTGTCCCAGACCCACAGGATTGTGGACCTGGTGCAAAATCTAAGTTTGGCACCGTGACCCAGAGGGAGGCCGTGAGGCCCCTCCTCTCCACCCTCACCCCTCAGCCCCGCCCTGTCAGCACCAGTGTTGCTGAAAGCATAAAAGCTCAGGCTGCAGTGACTCTGGTCCCTGGGGAAGTGGAGGAGATCAAAGTTGCAGTTGGTCTCGGTGGTGAGGGCCAGGTTGAGCTTAACATGGCCATCCTGGTCCACTCGGGCCTGTGGGCTCAGGTCCCTCCAGTCCACCCAGAGCCTGTGGGGAGAGGTGCCAAAACTGGAGGCCCAGCCTCTTCTTGGACTGGGGTAAGGGAGACCCCAACATCCCACCTCCAAGCCCAAATGCTGGCAGGGAAAGGGGAGCAGGCAACAGCAGAGGTGCTCTGCCATGCAGTAGCATGGCAGGACCACCTGGGGGGAAGGTTTGCTAAGACTCCCCTCAGACTCTAGATGGGGGAATGGAAGTGGATGTGTACAGCACATTCCTCAGAGAGGAATCCTGCTCACTTACGCCTCCAGGATGGTGAGTCTGGGTGTCCAAAGCGAGTCCAGGGGCAGTGTGATTGCACGCCGGGGGTGCACACTAGTATTCCAGGCCAGGCGAGGGTCCAGCCAGGACTGGGGACACAAGGATGCCCCTGAGGATCCCGCTTGCCATATGTTTGCCTTTTTAAGCTTGGAGGTTGATAAAGGGCAGTCCTGAGCTAGACTCAGCTGGGTCCTCCCATCCCACCTCCCCTGGGAGGGGAGCTCACCATCTGAAGCAGCAGCACAGAGGACACTGTGTACCGAAGGATGTCCTGGGAGAGAGGGCAACGTGTCACCTCAGAAGTAGATGCTATGTGACAGGAGGCAGATCACCCCAGCACTAGGCTATGCTTAGTCCGACCCCTCCCCAGTTCAGCATTTGGGACCCATAGCCTGGCAGCACTTACCACATTAAAAACATTGGACACAAACACCTGCACAGCCACAAGCAGGGGTGCACTCCCATTGTTTGGAATCTGGATGGTTTCCTCAACCTCCTGGGACAAGTTGAGGTTGAAGAGGGGTGGCCAGACTGAGGGACAAAGACTGAGCTCATTCAGATACCCTAGGGCCCAAATCCCAAAGCTTATGACCTTACACCCTCCACTTACCGGGTGCCAGCCTTTGAAAGTTGCGCCCCTGGACCAGGGGCTGGGTGATGCCAAGCCCTAGGGAGGCGAGATGGAGCAGAAGCCACAGGGCTAACATCAGTGTCTGCATGGAGCAGTGGTCCCTAAGCTACCACCTCTCTTCCAGTCACTTCTCTGGCAGTTGAGCAGTTGACCAGAGGCAGCTGCTCTGTGCTAGGACCCTGGGACCTTGGACTTGGTAACCTTCACCTTGATTCTGCAAACATCCAAGCACAAAGCCCAAGACCCAGCCCCACCCACCCTGCAGCTGCCTAGGCGTCCCTGTGCCGCTCTATTTCCACCACCTGGAACCCATTGTCAAGCTTAAAGCCTGCTGACCCGGGGGTGGGAGTAGGGGACCAGGCATGTCTGGGACCTCCAATCTTCCCCTGCATTTCAGTGGCTAGCAATAGCCTGGCTAGGAAACCAAGCCCTTGGTCAAAGTGTCCTGTGCCCGATGATATGAGATGGGACATCCTTGAGAGTTTCCCTGCCTCTCCTTAAACCTGGTAAGAGCCTTAACTCAAGAACACTGGGGATAGATAAGAGGCCAGCTCATGAGCAAAGACCTGGTGCATTGCTTGCTGCTCCTGCTCCAGGTTCTCTGCTTGCTCCAGCCCAGCCCAGCGGTGCCTTGGTGTCACTGCTGTGCTTGGGCACCCCAACCTGCCAGGGGGTGATGTTCCTGGCCCCAAGGAAAAACTGAGCTCCTGGAGACCTGATCCCTACCCAGCTGCAGCGAGAGAAGGGAAGGCCAAGGCCAAAAGTGGGTAAGGCTGACAGGGCTGCCCAGATTCAAAGGAGCCCTAGGAGCTGGCGCAGGCAAGGACTTATCCAGTTTCCCAGCAGGCAAGGACACACCAGTGCATGAAGGTGACTAGGAACACACGGAGTGTCTGCTTCTGTCATTGACGACTTTATTGACCATGTTTAAATACTTTGCCTGTCTCTGTTACCCACATTGGTGGCTGCTAGGGTTCTGCCATGAATATACAGCTGGCGCTTCAGATGGCCACTTGCAAAGAGCCTTCAGTCATCCCCCACACATCCCCCAGCCTCAGGGATTTTTATGCAGATTGCGACCTGGCTGCCTTTGCTGTGGACAGCTCTCTTTCCCGGTAGCTCGGCAGAGGGCCCTGCACCCGCTCCTCAGGAGCCCACTGCTGAGTCCCCAAGGCTGCTTCTACTGAGCCTGAAGATAGAAATGCGGAGCTACAGCGCGTCACTGCAAGTGAAAGGGCTGTTCGCTTTATTAACAGACAAAACTCTCCCCCGCGATCCCCGACCAATGACTCCAGCTCTTTAAACATCCAAGCTAAGTGCCTTCAGGTCACGTTAACTGTCAGGATGCTGTCGCCTGCCTTTTGGTCCCTCCAAGAAGGGCCAGGGACCGGGCTCAGGGGTGTATGGCTGGGGAACGCTGAGACAGGGGCTGGCGGCCCGGCCGCCTCGCTCACGTGCGTCAGGTCGGTGGACTCGTGCTCCAGCACGTTGCCCGGCACGGCAACGCACACACGGCCCGAGGCTCGGCGCGGGACGCGGCCCAGCAGGCCAGCGCAGATCTTGCGGAAGCCCTTGCGGAAGTGCTTGGACACCAGCGCGTAAACGATGGGGTTGACGCAGGAGTTGGCGTAGGAGACCAGGTGCGAGAGGATTCGCAGCGCGTAAGTGGCGCGCGTGAGCGGAAAGCGGCCGAACCACACGCAGAGGATGAGCGCGTGGTGCGGCATCCAGCAGAGGCAGAAGAGCGCAGCCACGATGAGGATCATGCGCGTCACCTTGCGCTTCGCGCGCCTACCACCTGAGCCTGCGGCCACCGGGTCGACAGCGCGCCAAAGGTAGCTCAGGGTGCGCGCGTAGGTCAGGCTCAGGACCAGCACCGGCAGCAGGTAGCTGAAGACGAAGGTGCAGAGGTCCATGGCGCGGCGGCGAGGCGCGCTCCACGCTGGGTGGCACACGGTCAGGTTAGCCAGCTGCGACTGGCGGTAGTAGCTCAGGTAGGGCCCGGAGAAGAGCAGCGACAGTCCCCAGATGAGCGCGATAGCTGCCAGCGCGTTTCGAGGAGTGCGCAGCTCCCGGGAGTGCAGCGGGTAGCGGATGGCCAGATACCTGCGGTCAGGGCCAGGAGGGAGACATCAGATGAGCTGGAGAATCACGCTGGGGGCCGCGACCCCTGCACCTTAGGGGCCCATACTTGTTCTTGAGGAAAGTACCTAAGGCAAGGTTAGACCTCACGTGCCGGAAGCGTGTCCCACGCGTCCCAGGCGCTCTCAGTGGAGCCTAGTGGTGGGGAGCCGAGACCGGCAGCAGGAAAGGTGCTTCCTGCTCTTCCCGGGATAGTGACCACTGACTCCACCCGGGAGGGCACCCCAAAGCCACCGAGGACTTAAGGTTGGAGAATTGGCTATGGGGCTCCTGGAAGCTGTGCTTATCCACTAGTGACGGTGGGTGCCCCAGAAGGAGGACCCAGAAGCATAAGG